CTGCCCACTCCTGTATTTCTGGCGTCCACTCCTGTGTTTCTGGCATTCACTCCTGTGTCTTCATCAGGGAACTGTGGTTGGTGTTGTTGCAGCTGATGTTCATTCACTCCTGCGGGCAGGACCCCGGCGTTGTCGGGAGGCTGGTCGTTGTCTGGATCATCACTGTGAGTACTATCAGTTTCATCAGCGTCATCTACGGAATTGGTGTTGTCGTAGGCGCTGGCATCATCGTCCACAGGTGTTTGTGGAGGTGGCATGGTGACATCGCTAGCATCACTGTCATAGCTAATGTCATCGTCATCTGTGTGAGTGTGGGTGGCGGACGCATTGGAAGAGCTGTACAAGGAGTCGTGGTCGTCGTCCACGTCGTCATCGTCGTCGATAAGCTCCATTCCGTGCCGGTCTGCAAATGTCAGTGTAGTGGGCATGCCCTGTTGTAGCCCACGGTTGCTGACGGCCTCGATGACATCAGTAGGCATGGGTAGTGGTGTCCAGTGTTGCCTTGTGATGCGCTTGCCGGTTGCAACGCTCATGAAATAGTGTGAGCCTTGTGCTGCACCGGTGGGCCCAAGGCATATGGCGCCCAGCGTGCGTGCACGCATATCATTGGAATGTTCCTCATGAGTCTGGACGTATGCGCCAAATTTGGTGCGGACATGGAGTTTCATGTTTACATTTCTTCCGGTTACAATATATTTAGGCGAAAGTGTGTCAGAAACCCCATCCAATGCTGGGAAAGCGTTGAGCCAGAACACTGCATTTTGAATAATGTGTTCTAGCATCAGTTTGGGAATTCGTCGAAATGGCAGCATGTTATACGTGCTGCGCATCCTGTCCTTGATAGTGCGGATAAAGCGCTCTACTTCCGGCACATGCTCATCTGCACCACAGCAGTCGACCTGGATATTGGAGAATTGTTGTTTTCAAGGCTCAAACTCTGGGTCCCCAAGAATACATTTGACCTTGAAGTTGCGTCGGGAGTAGAGTTCGAATACTTTGCGCATGCTGTCGGTGATGGTCTTGATGCGTCTGTTGGTGAGGCGCTCCACAGTACCAAACTTCAGGTGTCTGGAAATGCTGACCAGGAACGGGACTTTGTTTACAAATAATATGTCAATTGCCAATGTGACATCTGAATAGAGTTGCTGGATATGGTCTGGAATCGGTCCCACCTCGGTCCTCACGTGGCTGTCGTTGCGGGAAGTGGTTTTTCCCTTTAGCGACCCGAGGTTAGGTCCATAAATGTTGTGGGCCACTCTGATGTCTTCTGCTGTCACAGGACAGTCACGGAGCAGATTTTTGTTCACGATATCGGTGAATCGTCGATCTCCTGGTCGGCCGATGATGTTTTGAATGT